CAGTATCATGGCTGAATTTACAGTACCATGCAAAAAAAGACACGTAGCTATGCGGTGCAGTTACATGTACATGTACCATGTGAGTGCAATCAAACTAAGCAAGTACTACGCCCAATTTACCCTGTGCATGGGCAGCACATAGTCCATTTGCTAGAGGCGAATGGAGGAAGTCAGTAGACTTGCTGGTCAGTGGCCACAAGTAGAACAAAGGGGAAAGGGAGCTAGAGATGAGCTTCAGACAAAAATAACACAATGAGCAATGTCAATGTAATAATACATGTACATGTAGAGTGGACATTCATGTAAGCTATCAAAGGACAAGAGATGTACATGTTATACTTAGCTGCTGTCAGAAAAAATTAGTGGAGATTGGTAGGTTAATAATAAGAACGACCACTAATGTTGCTTCATTCTGAGCATATTCAATGACACGTGGCTAAAAATTCTACAATAAGCACCCTTAACATTCCCACTACACAATATCTCTCTAGAGCTAATTCATAACAAGAAATGCTACAAGACAAAGCAATATAATGAGTAATGCTAATAGAACAGCCAAATAAAATAATTATAAATTTAGTGGATACATAACTCGCTGTATTAAATTTCAAAACTTTTATCCCCAAGTCAAATTTTTCACACCCATACAATTGATCTGAGTATTTTTGCAAATAGCAACAAAATCCGTGAAATATTTTACCCTTGAAAAAAAGGTACGCTACAATAAATAATGACAATGATCTTTCTCTCTCTCTCCCCCTCTCAGATTGGAGATGTTCCAGTTGGATAGTGTAAATGGGACCATTAGTTATTATTATCATAAGAGAGAGAGAGAGGGAGGATTCATGGAACATTTATCACAAGTAGTAATACAACTTGTGATAAATGTTCCATGAATTCTCCCTCTCTCTTACTGTTTTTTGAATTTGTTATTGATATTGTTTATCATTCACTTGTTTCCTGATGTAAATTATTATTGACAAGACACAGGCAATGTACATGCATGGAAAGAGTGTGATTGTGAGTGGGTGTGTGTGGGCATGTCTCTCAGGTATGTATGAATAATATTACTAATAGTTGTTACTAGGCGAATGTAAAACATTAAAGGGGCGAGCCTAAGCAAGCTATAGATTATGTGCTGTATGAGCTACATGTATGAGCTAGCAAAGCAATTGCACATGTCTAAATTCATTATCTTGTAGTCATCTTGCTTAAATTAAAGTTATCTTGCTTATAGTTAGAAGCAGTCACTGAACAAATCATGTTTGAAGATTGTATATCTGCTTTGTTAACCTAGGCTTGCTCCTAGAGAAGAAACATTACCTAGAATGGATGTCATGATGCATGCAGCTAGCAGTTAGTCAGGCGGGGCCTGACCCTCGCAGAGAGAGGAGGGTCAGGACCACTACGTATACAGGATTCGTTCTGCTGCATAATTTTTGCAGTACCGGAAGTTGTGTTTTTACGTAATATTAATGTTTAATAATAGATTTTATTTAATAACTATCTAGTTTTATTAATAAAATGGAGCAAGTGATTGAGGTAGCTGCCAAAGAAATTGGTTATGATCGTTTGAAAGCAGAGCAGATGCAAGTGATATCTAAGTTTGTTGAAGGGAATGATGTGTTTGCCATCTTGCCAATAGTGTTGTGCAGTACTCTATTTTCTGTTTTAGTTCTAGTTTTAGTTCTACCAACTACTCCATTTCTAGTTTTAGTTTTAGTTTTAGTTTTACCAGTACTCCATTTCTAGTTTTAGTTCTACCAGTATTCCATTTCTAGTTTTAGTTCTAGTTTTAGTTTTATCAGCAATCCATTTCTAGTTTTAATTCTAGTTTTAGTTCTACCAGTACTCCATTTCTAGTTTTAGTTCCAG